ATGGGGGGGGGACTCCAGGGACCGATTAGGATCAGTATGGGGGGGGGGACTCCAGGGACCGATTAGGATCAGTATGGGGGGGGGACTCCAGGGACCGATTAGGATCAGTATGGGGGGGGACTCCAGGGACCGATTAGGATCAGTATGGGGGGGGGGACTCCAGGGACCGATTAGGATCAGTATGGGGGGGGGACTCCAGGGACCGACTAGGATCAGTATGGGGGGGGGACTCCAGGGACCGACTAGGATCAGTATGGGGGGGGGGACTCCAGGGACCGACTAGGATCAGTATGGGGGGGGGGACTCCAGGGACCGACTAGGATCAGTATGGGGGGGGGACTCCAGGGACCGACTAGGATCAGTATGGGGGGGGGACTCCAGGGACCGATTAGGATCAGTATGGGGGGGGGGGGGGGACTCCAGGGACCTATTAGGATCGTATGGGGGGGGGGGACGACTCCAGGGACCTATTAGGATCAGTATGGGGGGGGGGGGGACTCCAGGGACCTATTAGGATCGTATGGGGGGGGGGGGACTCCAGGGACCTATTAGGATCGGTGGGGGGGGGACTCCAGGGACCGATTAGGATCAGTATGGGGGGGACTCCAGGGACCGATTAGGATCAGTATGGGGGGGACTCCAGGGACCGACTAGGATCAGTATGGGGGGGGGGGGCTCCAGGGGACCGATTAGGATCAGTATGGGGGGGGGGGGGGACTCCAGGGACCGATTAGGACTAGGATCAGATTATGGGGGGGGGGACTCCAGGGACCGACTAGGATCAGTATGGGGGGGGGACTCCAGGGACCGACTAGGATCAGTATGGGGGGGGGGGACTCCAGGGACCTATTAGGATCGGTGGGGGGGGGGACTCCAGGGACCTATTAGGATCGGTGGGGGGGGGGACTCCAGGGACCTATTAGGATCGGTGGGGGGGGGACTCCAGGGACCTATTAGGATCGGTGGGGGGGGGGACTCCAGGGACCGATTAGGATCGGTGGGGGGGGGAGACTCCAGGGACCGATTAGGATCGGTAGGGGGGGGGGGGGGACTCCAGGGACCGATTAGGATCGGTAGGGGGGGGGGGGGGGACTCCAGGGACCGATTAGGATCAGTATGGGGGGGGGGGGGACTCCAGGGACCTATTAGGATTGGTGGGGGGGGGGGACTCCAGGGACCTATTAGGATTCGGTAGGGGGAGGGGACTCCAGGGACCGATTAGGATCGGTAGGTGGGGGGGGGGGGGGGGGGGGGGGGGGGAACTCCAGGGACCGCCTGGGATCGGTATGGGGGGGGGGGGGAACTCCAGGGACCGCCTGGGATCGGTATGGGGGGGGGGGGGGATTTGGAGATTAATCGGTATGGGGGGGGGGGGAATCTGGGCACCGACCAGTGGCATTTCGGCTCAGGCGAGGCTCGGTCACCTGGTGTAGAACATTACAGCCTATGGTAAGGTATGCAGTAATAACGTGATGTTTTAGAGGCGATTGTTGTGATTGGTAGAGTTTTTTTTTAATGATAGGTTCCCTAGTTTTCTTTCAGGCCTCGGAGTATAGGCCCAACGCCAACATATAAAGGACAGGGCTGTGTGCTTCCATGCTGTTAAACAGACTCTGGAGCTGGGAGGAAGTGTATGAGTTGAGGTATCCTGCAGATGGGCACCACTGACACTGGAGCTGGAGTGTGGGGCTCCGGCCAGGTAAAAACCTGTACCATGATGACAATATTCCAGGCATTGTGGAGAATTTGCCTTTCCTGTAGACACAGTGCACATCATGGAGTCATTGAGAAGAAATGTTACAGATCGGAGTATCATGAGTCAGTCCAGGAGTGCAGGCAGTGTACTTGTGTATGAAGAACACCTCCACCCTGACCTGACAGCTCAGCTTTGTGTGGATACATGTTACACTCTATGGATGGATTCCTCACAATACAAATACTCAAAGCTGAAAATGCTGTTTGCTTGGCTGTGTCAGGATTTAGTACTTCTGAATCTGTGGCTGGGAACAGGAATAAAGAATCAGAATGATGCCAGGAATCTGTGTATTTGTTGTGGATCAGCAACTCAAAGTACTGAAGCTAAAGAGTCACCATGACAGCCAGGAATGTAGTCTCTTCAGAAGACGAGGCCAGCAGGGATGGCCTTCATATACAGGTTTCCTCTTTCCAGTCCCCTCCACCTCTGTGGATATACTAGGCCTCTCCTTCTGTCCAGCCCTCCTCTCCTGGTAATCCAGATTACAGCCGCTGCTGGATCCTTGCCCTCTGTCACCTCCTGAGGTCCAGTGAAGGAGATAACTGCCATCACCCTCCCCTCTGATTGTCAGAGCGGACACTGTGCAGGGTGCCAGGAGCAGAGGTGGCCCTCTACCATCACCCAGAAGCAGAGGTGGCTCCATACCATCACCCTAAAGCAGGAGCAGAGGAGACCCCAACCCCTCAACCACCCTCCCTCTGATTGTCAGAACGGACATTGTGCAGGGTGCCAGGAGCAGAGGTGGCCCTATACCATCACCCTATAGAGGAGCCCCCAACCCCCCCATCACCCTTCCCTCTTATTGTCAGAGCGGACACTGTGCAGGGTGCCAGGAGCAGAGGTGTCTCCATACCATCACCCAGGAGCAGAGGTGTCTCCATACCATCACCCAGGAGCAGAGGTGTCTCCATACCATCACCCAGGAGCAGAGGTGTCTCCATACCATCACCCAGGAGCAGAGGTGTCTCCATACCATCACCCAGGAGCAGAGGTGTCTCCATACCATCACCCAGGAGCAGAGGTGTCTCCATACCATCACCCAGGAGCAGAGGTGTCTCCATACCATCACCCAGGAGCAGAGGTGTCTCCATACCATCACCCAGGAGCAGAGGTGTCTCCATACCATCACCCAGGAGCAGAGGTGTCTCCATACCATCACCCAGGAGCAGAGGTGTCTCCATACCATCACCCAGGAGCAGAGGTGTCTCCATACCATCACCCAGGAGCAGAGGTGTCTCCATACCATCACCCAGGAGCAGAGGTGTCTATGCCCCCCCACCCCGGCCACCCTCACACAGAAGCAGAGGTGTCTATGCCCCCCCCTTCCCGGCCACCCTCACACAGGAGCAGAGGTGTCTAGGAAACCATGTTACATGGACTGTAGTGCATTTCTGCAAAAAGCACAAAAAACGCATTGGTGTGAACAGACCCTCAATGCCAGAGCAAACACTGTGCAGGGTGTCAGGAACAGAGGCAGTCCTCCATGGAGTCTCCAGCTGATGTCACCTGGAAGTGCTGGGCTCCGCTATGTCCTCATATATTCATGTGTACAGACCGGTTACAGCCTGAGCTCACCTGTCCTCACACATCCATACTGAACACTGGCAGCTCCACACTTTGGAGTCACTGCTTTCTGCACACACTTTTTTTTTTTTTTTTTTTTTTTTTTTTTTTTTTTAATCCTGAATATGGATCATTTACAATTCTGTGATAAAGTAATCCATGTATGTTATGTCACATGTTAATGTTCCTTGCATTAAGGCTGTCCCCCTTTGGAATCAATGGACATCCACAGCGCCAGAAGTCCCAAGCAGTAGACCTGTCATAACAAAATATTGGAACCATGTGCAGTCCCTTAGTGCGCTGGGGTGCGATTCGGCATGAATGGTACGACGATGTGTCAGTGCATGTATTGTAACAACGCACACATGACGGCAATGCACAACACTTCGCTGGAAATTGTCACTGATGTTTGCATTTGTAGTTCAGATGGGGTGTATTATAGATCCATGTGTTTAGTGCCACAGTCTGTACGCCGGTATAAAGTAGAGTTAAACTCTCCCAAACCGTAATGTAGAGCAGTGCTGTTAACACATTTGCGTCATTTTGTTACAAAAATAAACTTTCCTTTTTTCTTGCACAGTTTTCTACCCTGAGCTGTGTAAATCCGGTAGACACATTATCTGCACATAGGCCTGTTCTCATATGGGTCATGTTAGGCAGTTCAGGTTTTATTACATTGCCTGAGCTTCCTGTCAAAATCAGGCAATAGTTCTTGGACGGCCCCATACACATTGCCATAGCTTTGGGAGGGGGGGGGGGGAATAGGCCATGCGGTATTCGGCAGGCGATACTGGCACCCCATACAGATGAATGGGATTGTGATGCAGCTGCATCCATTGGATCAGGTTGCAGGATGGCGACAAGTGATTTTAGTGTGAAATTCCTCTTCAACAGGTGTTCCAGGCAGGAGGCAGCATATCCCCTCACAATAGCCTGCTAACTGTGAGATCCACCGCAGGTTGCAGATTAGCAGCTAGGCCCATGTGAAACAGGCCCATGTGAAACAGGCCCTTGCAGCATCTCAACATCATTTTAATTGCGGTGACTGTGGCAGAATGTGCATTCTTCAACATGGCAGCTTCTAGCTTCTCTTCTGCAGAAAAGGATGACAACATTGCAGCTGAACTGTTAAGTGTTGTCAAAAGACTTTGGCTAAACCTTGCTGGTTTGATTTTAGTCTAAAACTGTTTATATCTGACATTACAGGAGCAGGTGTGTCAATATATTTGGTTTGAGGTGTAACTAAAGGGGTTTTTTTTTTTTTTTTTTTGCATTTTCGGTAAAGGTTGGGTTATAACCTCTGTTAGTTTTTTGCCATCTGTCTCCCATTGGGGTGACACATTCCTTCACTTTGTGCCCCATAGCCAAAACAGAAAGTGAGAGGAAATCCTTTTAAAGATTGGGAATCTTGTTTTGTAGCAAGAACTAGTGTCCCCTTAAGGAAGATTACACCTCTTAATGTTGTTAGTATTACAGGTACTCATAGTGCCATCAATTTACACAGCGCTTTACACAATAAATATATGTGTGTGTGTGTGTGTGTGTGTGTGTGTGTGTGTGTGTATATATAGTAATTATTCCCATCAGTCCCTAACCCTCAAGGGGCATACATTCTAAATTCCCTAACTTACACTCATACACATACTATGGCCAATTCAGACAGGATCAGAGGCGGACTGACCACTCATGGGGCCCCTGTGTCCTTGCCCACACTCAAACTACACCCAAAAAAGCCTATGCAAGGTACCAGGGGCATCTCATGGGGCCCCCTACTGACCCGGGGCCCTTGGGCAGTGCCGAGTGCTCGAATGGTCAGTCCGCCCCTGGACAGGATCCAATAAACCTACCAGTATGTCTTTGGAGTGTTCTGATGTCACCCCAAAATTTGGGATTTTCTTTTACTTTAAAGTGTTACTAAACCCAGGACCCCGCATTCACTATATCTGGTCTCCCACAGTACACAGAACATGAAAGTGCAATTATTTTTGTAAATGTAAACTTCTAAATACCTTTTCTCAGCAGTTAGAGCAGTCTTCTGATCAGTGTCCAGTCAAGCACATGTTAAAGCTTGTAGGAGGAGTTTTCTTTCTCCTCTAGAAGGATGCAAAACCCCATGACCTCTGTCTGGACAGTGCTGATTGGCCCTGTGCTGATCACATGCACACTCCCAAGAAAATAAAACAAGAAAAAAACCTCTAGCAATACACACCAAACTGAGCGTGTGCAAAGTGACTCCAGACAATATGTTTTGTCAGGAGATAAGAGGGGGACACTGAAAGAAGGGGAGGATCAGAGAAGTCAGGATCAAACCGTGTATAACAAGTATGCTTTACTGCATATATAGACTGATTTCACTGTTGTGGGTTTGGTGACACTTAACGATCAATGATAACTGTAAGCAAAGTGAATCTCCCTAATGGGGGCACAGACAGCAATTAAAACCTGACAGGGGTTCTAATCCCTCTCCACTCTCTACAAAATGTTAAAAATGCCTGCCTTTAGTTGCACTCTATATTTTAGGTTTCGTCTAGTCTTTAAATATTTCAGTAGTTCTGTAGCTGAGTGGTTATTGTATTTATTATTATTTATTATTATACAGTATTTATAAAGCGCCAATAGTTCGCTCAGCGCTGTACATTACAAAGGGGGACAGAACATGTGACAGAACAATACCAATACAATGTGATACATGAGGGGATCGAGGGCCCTGCTCTTTCGAGCTTACAATCTAGAAGGGATGGGATAGTGGTACAGGAGATAGCTATGGGGGATGGAGTGGTAGGAAGAGTGGAGGAGGTCAGCAAGTTAGCAGGGGGTGAGGTAGGCTTCCCTGAAGAGATGGGTTTTCAGGGTGCGCCTAAAGGAGAGGAGAGTAGGTGATAATCTGATGGGTTGGGGAAGGGAGTTGCAGAGGATGGGTGACACCCTGGAGAAGTCCTGGAGGCGGGCATGGGAGGAGGAGACCAGGGAACTAGAGAGGAGGTCTTGTGAGGAGCGGAGTGTGCATGTTGGGCGGTACTTGGATATTAGGTCAGTGATGTAGTTCGGGGCAGTATGGTGGACAGCTTTGTACGTCAGTGTTAGGATTTTAAATTTGATCCGTTGCGCAATCGGAAGCCAGTGGAGGGATTGGCAGAGGGGGGTGGCGGAAATGGAGCGGTTGGAAAGGTGGATGAGTCTGGCAGCCGTATTCAGGATCGACTGAAGCGGGGATAGCCAGCGGCGAGGCAGGCCAGTAAGGAGGGAGTTGCAGTAGTCGAGTCGTGATATGATGAGGGAGTGAATGAGCTGTTTAGTGGTTTCTGGGGTTAGGAACGTGCGGATTTTGGCGATGTTGCGGAGGTGGAGTCTGCACGAGTTTGTTAAAGATTGAACTTGGGGCTGGAAGGATAGGTTGGAGTCCAGAATGACACCAAGTACTCTGGCCTGCAGAGCGGGTTTGATATTGGCGTTGTTGGATGTGATGTAGAAGTCAATGGGGGGTGGGGTTCGGGCTGGGGGGAAGACAAGGAACTCGGTTTTGGAGAGATTCAGTTTAAGGAAGTGGAGCGACATCCAATCTGATATGTCGCTCAGTAGGTGTGTGATTTGGGCAGAGACCGAGGGGGTGAGGTGGGGGGTTGAGAGATAGATTTGTGTGTTGTCGGCATAGAGGTGGTAGTTGAAGCCGTGAGAGTGTATGAGTTGGCCAAGGGAGGAGGTGTAGATGGAGAAGAGAAGGGGCCCAAGGACAGAGCCTTGAGGGACCCCAACAGAGGGGGGGAGTGAGGGGAAGTTGGTAGCATTATAGGTAACGCTGAAAGAGCGTTGTGACAGGTAGGATGAGAGCCAGGAGAGAGCAGAATCTCTGAGGCCGAGGGAGTGTAGTATTTTGAGGAGGAGGGGGTGGTCAACTGTGTCGAAGGCTGCAGAGAGGTCAAGGAGTAGGAGCACTGAATAGTGGCCATTAGCTTTGGCGGTTAGCAGGTCGTTGGAGAGTTTGAGTAAGGCAGTTTCGGTGGAGTGTAGGGGGCGGAAGCCAGACTGTAGGGGATCGAGGAGGTTGTTGTTGAGGTGAGAGCATAGACGGGTGTAGACGAGGCGCTCGAGGAGTTTAGATGTAAGTGGGAGCAGGGAGATGGGTCTGAGGTTGTTTGGGTCATTGGGGTCCAGGGAGGGCTTTTTAAGGATGGGGGTGATGTGTGCATGCTTCAGTGGGGAGGGGAAAGTGCCGGAGGAGAGGGAGAGATTAAAGATGTGGGTGAGGGAGCTTAGGATGGAGGGGGAGGGAGGTCGTAGGAATTGTGAGGGGATAGGGTCGAGGGGGCAGGTGGTGAGGCAGGCATCAGAGAGGATCTTGGAGACTTCCTCGATGGTAGTAAGGTCAAAGTGTGGAGTGTTGGGGGAGCTTCAGTATGAGGAATATAGGGTGGGGTGGGAGTGGAGGTCAGAGCAGTGGTGGGGCCGTGGGAGAGGGGTGATGAGGGGGTAGCTGAGTGAGGGGGAACGGGGTTGGAGGGAGTTTGAGCAGCGACGAAGTCCCTGCGGGTTATGTCGAGGGGGGGAGGGGGTTATGATGAGGGGGTAGCTGTGTGAGAGGGGACGGGTTGAGAGGGCGTGTGAGTTGCGGCAATGTCCTTGCGAATTGTGTCAATCTTGTTTTTGAAGTGATTGGCAATCTCAAGGGCGGTGGTGAGTGAGGTGCTGGGGGTGGAGGTGGGGGTGGAGAGAGAGTAGAGAGTTGAAGGTGGAGAAGAGTCGGCGAGGATTGGAGGAGAGGGCCTTGATGAGGGTCAGGAAGTAGGCTTGTTTGGCTGCGTGGAGGGAGGAGGTGTAGGTGCGGAAGGCAGATTTGTAGCAGGTGAAAGCTTGTTGGGATTTTGTTTTGCGCCATAGTCGCTCCAGGGCACGACTTTGTCGTTTGAGGGTTTTTTTGGTGTGATCAGTCTGCTAGGGCTGGAGTGGTCGGGGTCTGATGTTGCGTGTGGTTAAAGGCGCTAGTGAGTCAAGGGCTGCTGACAGCGTGTTGTTGTAGGCAGTCATAGTCAAGTCGGGGCAGGACAGGGGGAGGATGCGGTCGTGGAGTTTATCAGCTGCAGAGTGGAGGGGGGGCAGGGTTAAGGTTGCGGAGGTTACGGCTGGTAGTAGTGTGACATTTGGAGGGGTAGGCGTTGGAAGACGAGGAGATAGAGAAGGTGATCAGGTTGTGGTCAGAGAGAGGGAAGGGGGCGTTAGTGAGGTTGTGGGGAGCGCAGCGGTTGGAGAAGACAAGATCAAGGATATTACCGTCGGAGTGGGTGGTGGATTGTATGCACTGTGCAAGTGCAAAGGAGGAGGTTAAGTGGAGGAGACGGGCTGTGTCTGGGTTGTCAAGGTTGACAGGGATGTTGAAATCCCCAAGAATGATGGTGGGTAGCTCAGAGGAGAGGAAGAAGGGTAGCCAGGAGGAGAAGTCATCCAGGAAGCGGGGTATGGATCCAGGAGGCCGGTATATCACAGCAATCTTCAGGGGGGTTGGGGAGAATAGTCGGACGCAGTGGCCTCGAAGGAGGAGAAGGATAGGGAGGGGGGGTTTGGGAGGACTTGGAAGGTGCTCTGCGGTGACAGGAGCAGACCAACCCCACCACCTTTACGACCGTTAGGTCTGGGTGAGTGGGTCCAGGTGAGACCTCCATAGGAGAGTGCAGCAGGGGAGGTAGAGTCAGTGGGCTGGATCCAGGTTTCCGTGATCGCCAGGAGGTTGAGGGAGCGGGAAATAAAGAGGTCGTGGATGGCGGTAAGCTTGTTGCACACCGATCGGGCGTTCAGGAGTGCACATGAAAACGGGGGGGGGGAGATTTTAGGGAGCAGGGGGACAGATACTAGGTTGCGGGGGTTGCGGTAGGACATGGAGGCGGGAGGGAGTATTGGAGTGCAGCGCTAAGGATCTGGGTTCAGATCCCTTCAGGGAAGGTATTTGCATGAGATCTGTATATTCTTCTTTGGTTGATTTGAGATTCCACCTACATCCTGAAAACTGGGACCATACTGGTGTGCCTCCTCTGGGGTTGGTACTGATAAAAAAAAAAAGGTCTGTGTAGGACACTGTGGTATTTGTTAATGCTCTATATATAAATTAATAAAATGTGCAGATGATGGATTTTAAAGGCATTATTTTGTGGGCCTGTCACTTGCACCTTGTCAGATGACAAATGTGTTAGTGAGCAAAGCATTGTATGTACACATTCGTACACTTCTGATCACTAGCCTACCAGAGGTGACACATTAAAAAAGCAAAATGTCCTAAGTGTGTGTGGGTGCTAAAAATGTAGAAAAGTATGCTAAGTGTGTGTGCCCATTTATTCCGACTTTACAAGTCTCCATGAATGACTACCAGGCAGGTCACCGTATATAGCAACCATATCAATTTTCAGAAAAGCTTGAGCATTTATTATTAAAAAGCAGTCTCATTGACCTCCAGTGACTTTGCTGAGATGGTGTTATCAGTCTGCTTTAGCTGAAAGGAAGCATTTCTTCTTTCTCTGATCAATCAGACTGTACAGTGTAATCTTGCAAGTCACTGTAGCAAGCAAATGTAGCAAGTTGGGGTGAGAGGCTGCAGCAGGGGCTGTTGTGTGTCAGACATTTGTGTATACAGCCAAGAACTGTGCAGACACCAGGATTCCATGATTGTGTCATCTGAGACAGCATCTCGGACCAGGAAGTAGTAGCTGACCTTGGATGATGCCTGAACAAAGATGGTGTTCTTTTCCATTGGGAGGAAGTGACTGTATACGGTGACTTTGTTGCACGTTACAAGGCGAACAGCTGAAGCAGAGGCTGATGTGTGTCAGACATTTGTGCACAC